CACCGTTTATACAAAATTTGTTTCCCTTTACCCAAGGACACTCCACACTAAATATGGACCAAATCCTTTCATTCCTACAGAAGAAGAAGGATTATAAAAAAAAAAAAATGCTATGTTTCCCCTATTGGGCCCCTACCCTCAGGCCCCTGGGGGGTCAGACCCATGGTTTATACAAAATCGGTACCCCTTCACCCAAGGATGCTTCAGACTAAATATGGAGTAAATCCTTTCATTCCTGCAGAAGAAGAAGGATTTTTAAGAATTTGCTATATTTCCCATATAGGGCCCCGCCCCTCAGCCCCCAAGGGGGCAAGACCAACTGTTTATACAAAATTGGTTACCCTTAATCCAAGGATGCTCAACACTAAATATGGACCAAATCCTTTCATTCCTACAGAAGAAGAAGGATTATAAAAAAAAAAAAATGCTATGTTTCCCCTATTGGGCCCCTACCCTCAGGCCCCTGGGGGGTCAGACCCATGGTTTATACAAAATTGGTTCCCCTTAACCCAAGGATGCTCAACACTAAATATGGACCAAATCCTGTCATTCCTACAGAAGTAGAAGGATTTTAAAGAATAATTTGCTATGTTCCCCTATTGGGCCCCGCCCCTCAGACCCTTGGGGGGCCAAACCCACGGTTTATACAAAACTGAGTCTCCTTGGCCCAAGGATGCTCCAGACTTAATAAGGATAAAATTCCTTAATCCGTAGGGTAGGAGAAGGATTTTGAAGCTTTTACCTCTATTTCCCGTATTCGGCCCGGCCATCTGCCCCAAGGGGGGCCACACCCACCATTTATACAAAATTGAGTCCTCTTGGCCCAAGGATGCTCCAGACTAAATTAGGATAAAATCCCTTAATTCCTACGGTAGAAGAAGGATTTTGAAGATTTTACCTCTATTTCCCCTATTGGGCCCCGCCCCTCTGCACCCAGGCGGGCCACACCCACCATTCATACAAAATTGAGTCCCCTTGGCCTAAGGATGCTCCAGATCAAATTTAGTCAAAATGTACTTGGCCGTTCAGGACTAGTAGCATTTTAAAGGAAAAGTTGACAGACGGACGGATGACGGACGCTGCGGTATGGCATAAGTTCACCATGGTCCTTCGGACCAGGTGAGCTAAAAATGGACAATAATAACAAAGTGGCACATTGAAATTAACTGAAAGCTTATCTACATGCAGAACAGCGGCCTTCTGAACCATTCCAGGACTTATTAGACTCTTGAAATGAGAGAATGTTGTCCGTCCGGAACACTAACACAATGTAGCAGCAGCAAATTTTAAACTTTTCTTACCATAAGTTGTAGTTCTTATATTTGGCATGTCCAATATATTATTATATCTGAAAAAATATTTAGATTGTTTTACCTTTAACAAATCTTGTAAACATACAGGTGACAGCTTATTTACAATTCTAAAAGTTTCAATTGCCATTGTTCTCATTCTTCCGACTTGCAGAGAAGGCATCTTCGCTTTTTCAAGTAAATTCTCATATGAGCTTGAAAAGTCTTCATATACAAAACGGAATGCTCTTTCTTGCACTTTTTCTATTTTATTAGAATTTTGCTCTACAACTACATGTGCAGAAATGCCATGCCAAAGGGCAAAAATTAAAATTACTTAAAATGAAAGAATGAAAGATGGTTAATTTCCTCAGTCTGTTCTAAAACGTGCCCAAACGTGAGAATATTCAGTTGCTGAGATGCCTCCCTGCAAATCTTACTTATTTGTACATCAAAACTTAGTTGGTAATCAATATCTATGCCAAGCAATCTGATTAAAATCATCTGTTACATGGCTCCGCCTGAACATCTGAATGTGCCGCGGTCAGGGTCACATTCAAGTGACCTTTAGATGAACCAATCAGAGGCACGCTGGCAAAAGGTTGCCAGCGAATCGGAATATCATGGTTGGTAGATAAATAGTGAGGGGTATCGAACAGATTAGTTTTCCAAAACAAATATGGCGGCAGTAACTGACGTTTCTACGACGCCAAGGAAAACATACTCATTGGGTAATAATTGCGTAGGCAACACCGCCATACAGTCTTTATTCTCTAATAAAGCTTTGAATATCTTTTTCTGTTCGGGTTTCCGACGATCAATCTCAAATAACTTCAGAACTCTCGCATCGTTACAACTCTGAGCACCCTTTTGAAAGAGGGTCTCTGATTGGTCAAAATTTAATGAGTATTTATAAATATAAAGGTCACCTGAAGGTGACCCTGACCGCGGCACACTCAGATGTTCAGGCGTAGTACGAAGTTAGCGAAGCCATGTAACATATGATTTTAATCGGATTGTATGCCAAGCAATTTAACAGTTGTTTCACATGACAGTTCAGTGTTTTAAATACGAATACAGGGATTTTAGACCCTTGGGGTACCCCTTTCTGGATGTCAGCCCAGCTACTAAGAACAGAATTTAATTTTATCTGTTGTTTTCTATCACACAATATATGATTTTAGAAGAGAAACTGAATGAGCTGAAACACCATATGCTGACAATTTGTCAAGCAAAATTTCATGTGGGAGGCAGTCAAAAGCTTTTAACAGCAGCAATATAAAGGTTTTTATCAAGTGCTAAACGCCCATCTTCAAGTAGTCGTAGTAGTGTGGTTCGACATCCATGGCCGCGACGGAAAGCACATAGATAAGGATTAAAAATATTTTCAAAAGATTCACCCAGTTGTATCTCAAAAAAAATTTCAAAAACTTTTGGAAAAAATGGGCAGGACACTGACAGGTCTATAAGCATGCTTCATAATATTCGAGAAAACGACATGTTCCAGAATTTTACAGGTGATATGCTAACATCCTCGATATACAGAAGATACACTAACATCCTTGATATCCAGGGGTTACACTAACATCCTTGTTATCCAGGGGTTACACTAACATCCTTGATATCCAGGGGTTATGCTCACCTCCTTGATATCCAGGGGTTACTCTAACATCCTTGATATCAAGGGGTTACACTAACATCCTTGATATCAAGGGGTTATGCTAACATCCTTGATATCAAGGGGTTACGCTAACATCCTTGATGTCCAGGGGTTACGCTAACATCCTTGATATCCAGGGGTTACGCTAACATCCTTGATATCCAGGGGTTACTCTAACATCTTTGATATCCAGGGGTGACGCTCACATCCTTGTTATCCAGGGGTGACGCTCACATCCTTGATATCCAGGGGTGACACTCACATCCTTGATATCCAAAGGTTACGCTAACATCCTTGATATCAAGGGGTTACGCTAACATCCTTGATATCCAGGGGTTACTCTAACATTCTTGATATCCAGGGGTTACACTTACATCCTTGATATCCAGGGGTTCCGCTCACATCCTTGATATCCAGGGGTTACACTCACATCCTTGATATCAAGGGGTTATGCTAACATCCTTGATATCCAGGGGTTACGCTAACATCCTTGATATCCAGGGGTTCCGCTAACCTCCTTGATATCAAGGGGTTCCGCTCACATCCTTGATATCCAGGGGTTACCCTAACATCCTTGATATCCAGGGGTTACACTTACATCCTTGCTATCCAGGGGTTACACTCACATCCTTGCTATCAAGGGGTTACGCTAACATCTACGATATCCAGTTGTTACGCTAACATCCTTGATATCCAGGGGTTACACTTACATCCTTGATATCCAGGGGTTACACTTACATCCTTGCTATCAAGGGGTTACGCTCACATCCTCGATATCCAAAGGTTACGCCAACATCCTTGATATCAAGGGGCTACACTTACATCCTTGAGATCCAGAGGTAACACGTACATCCTTGATATCCAGGTGTTACACTTACATCCTTGATATCCAGAGGTTACACTAACATCCTTGATATCCAGGGGTTACGGTTACATCCTTGATATCCAGGGGTTACGCTAACAGCTTTGATATCCAGGGGTTACACTTACATCCTCGATATCCAAAGGTTATGCCAACATCCTTGATATCCAGGGGTTACACTTTCATCCTTGCTATCAAGGGGTTATGCTAACATCCTTGATATCAAGGGGTTACACTTACATCCTTGATATCCAGAGGTAACACTTACATCCTCAATATCCAAAGGTTACGCCAACATCCTTGATATCAAGGGGTTACACTTACATCCTTAATATCCAAGGGGTTACCCTTACATCCTCGATATCCAAAGGTTACGCCAACATCCTTGATATCAAGGGGTTACACTTACATCCTTGATATCAAGGGGTTACACTTACATCCTTGATATCCAGAGGTAACACTTACATCCTCAATATCCAAAGGTTACGCCAACATCCTTGATATCAAGGGGTTACACTTACATCCTTAATATCCAAGGGGTTACCCTTACATCCTCGATATCCAAAGGTTACGCCAACATCCTTGATATCAAGGGGTTACACTTACATCCTTGATATCAAGGGGTTACACTTACATCCTTGATATCCAGAGGTAACACTTACATCCTTGATATCCAGGGGTTACACTTACATCCTTGATATCCAGAGGTTATGCTCACATCCTTGATATCAAGGGGTTACACTTACATCCTTAATATCCAAGGGGTTACACTTACATCCTTGATATCCAGGGGTTACACTTACATCCGTTATATCCAGGGGTTACGCTAACCTCCTTGATGTCAAGGGGTTACGCTAACATCCTTGATATCCAGGGGTTACGCTAACCTCCTTGATATCCAGGTGTTACGCTAACATCCTTGATATCCAGGGGTTACGCTTACATCCTTGATATCCAGGGGTTACGCTAACATCCTTGATATCCAGGGGTTACGCTCATATCCTCGATATCACTTTATATGGTTGATGTTGTGGCAGATTTTAATCGTACATAGAATTACGGTCGCCTACTAGCTTCGTGCTAGAGGGAAATTCCCTTTAGCTCAGTCAAGGAACCTAGGGAATTTATATATTTTACCATTATGCATGCACATATGTTGATTATTTCTTATATATATACATTTTTGTAGGAAAGAGAAACTTGCACTGGCCTATAACAACCGTGGTTTCCTCCGATATTTACGGGTTGATTTTGATGAAGCCATTGAAGATTATACAAGAAGTGTGAGCCTGGATCCTGATTTGGCCGTAACGTACTACAACCGAGGCACCATCCACTACAGACTCAGTAAGCACCCAACACTGGTACATTTTCATCCTCCTCGATACTCCAGGGCTTGACTCGCTTACGATCTCTGCACCCCTGGAATATGTTATAGCAAAATTGAAGGCACAAAGGTAGCTGTTTGATTGGTCCCAGGTAAAATACCTGACACAATCTTTAGAATTGATCTTCTCTAGGGCATACAGTGTTAGGAATGTATCTTCTCTAGGGCATACAGTGTTAGGAATGTATCTTCTCTAGGACATACAGTGTTAGGAATGTATCTTCTCTAGGGCATACAGTGTTAGGAATGTATCTTCTCTAGGGCATACAGTGTTAGGAATGTATCTTCTCTAGGACACAAAATCTTTAGGATTATCTTCTCTAGGGCACCCAATCTTAAAGATGTATCTTCTCTTGGGCACCAAATTTTAAGGATGTATCTTCTCTGGATCACAAAATCGTAATGATATATCTTCTCTAGGGCAGCCAATCTTGATGATAATCCTCTCTGGGCCAATCAATCTTAAAATTGTATCTTCTTTAGGGCACACAGATTTAGGAATGTATCATCCTCCCTGGGTCACCCAATCTTAAGAATGTCTCTTCTCTGGGGCACCCAATCTTTAGGATTTTTTTCTCTTGGGCACCCAATCTTGAGGATGTATCTTCTCTGTGTCACCCGATCTTAATGATAAATCTTCTCTGGGGCACCCAATCTCAAGGTATATCTTCTCTGGGGCCCCCAATCTCAAGGTATATCTTCTCTGGGGCACCTAATCTCAAGGTATATCTTCTCTGGGGCTCCTAATCTCAAGGTATATCTTCTCTGGGGCACCCAATCTTTAGGATGTATCTTTTCTATGGTAACAAATCTTAAGGATGTATTTTCTCTTGGTCACCCAGTCATAATTATGTAACTTTTCTGGGGCACACAATCTTTAGGATGTATCTTCTCTGGGGCACCCAATCTTGAGAATTATCCTCTCTGGGTCATGTGCACCCAATCTTGAGGATGTATCTTCTCTGGGGCACACAATCTTAAGGATGTATCTTGTCTGGGGCACCCAATCTTAAAGATGTACCTTATCTTGGTCACCCAATCTTAAAGATGTATCTTCTCTGGGGCACGCAGTGTTAAGAAAGTATCTTATTTAGGGTAACAAATCTTAAGGATGTATCCTTCTCAGTGTCAACCAATCTTAAGGATGTATCTTCTCTGGATCACAAAATCGTAATGATATATCTTCTCTAGGGCAGCCAATCTTGATGATAATCCTCTCTGGGCCAATCAATCTTAAAAATGTATCTTCTTTAGGGCACACAGAGTTAGGAATGTATCATCTCTAGGACAGCCAATCTTGAGAATTATCCTCCTTGGGTCACCCCAGGAGGAATCTTCTCCGTGTCAACAGATCTTAATGATGAATCTTCTCTGGGGCACCCAATCTTAAGGATGTCTCTTCCCTGGGGCACCCAATCTTAAGGATGTCTCTTCTCTGGGGCACACAATCTTTAGGATTTTTTTCTCTTGGGCACCCAATCTTGAGGATGTATCTTCTCTGTGTAACCCGATCTTAATGATGAATCTTCCCTGGGGCACCCAATCTCAAGGTATATCTTCTCTGGGGCACACAATCTTTAGGATGTATCTTTTCTATGGTAACAAATCTTAAGGATGTATTTTCTCTGGGGCACACAATCTTAAGGATGTATTTTCTCTTGGGCACCCAATCTTTAGGATGGATCTTCTCTGGGACACCTAATTTAAGGATGTATCCTCTCTGGGACACCTAATCTAAGGATGTATTCTCTCTGGGACACCTAATCTAAGGATGTATCCTCTCTGGGACACTGGGACACCTAATCTAAGGATGTATCCTCTCTGGGACACCTAATCTCAGGATGTATCTTCTCTGGGACACCTAATCTAAGGATGTATCCTCTCTGGGGCACTGGGACACCTAATCTAAGGATGTATCCTCTCTGGGCCACCTAATCTAAGGATGTATCTTCTCTGGGACATCTAATCTAAGGATGTATCCTCTCTGGGACACCTAATCTCAGGATGTATCTTCTCTGGGACACCTAATCTAAGGATGTATCTTCTCTGGGACATCTAATCTAAGGATGTATCCTCTCTGGGACACCTAATCTAAGGATGTATCTTCTCTGGGACACCTAATCTAAGGATGTATCTTCTCTGGGACACCGAATCTAAGGATGTATCCTCTCTTGGACACCTAATCTAAGGATGTATCCTCTCTGGGACACCTAATCTAAGGATGTATCCTCTCTGGGGCACACAATCTCAAGGTATATCTTCTCTGGTGCACACAATCTCAATGTATATCTTCTCTGGGGCACACAATCTCAAGGTATATCTTCTCTGGGGCACACAACCTCAAGGTATATCTTCTCTGGGGCACACAATCTCAAGGTATATCTCCTCTAGGACACCTAATCTAAGGATGTATCTTCTCTGGGGCACCCGATCTTAATGATGAATCTTCTTTGTGTCACCCGATCTTAATGATGAATCTTCTCTGGGGCACCCAATCACAAGGTATATCTTCTCTGGGGCACACAATCTCAAGGTATATCTTCTCTGGGGCACACAATCTCAAGGTATATCTTCTCTGGGGCACACCATCTTTAGGTATATCTTCTCTGGGTCACGTGCACCCAATCTTGAGGATGTATCTTCTCTGGGGCACCCAATCTTTAGGATTATCTTCTCTTGGGAACCCAATCTTTAGGATTATCTTCTCTGGGGCACACAATCTTTAGGTATATCTTCTCTGGGTCACGTGCACACCTTTAGGATGTATCTTCCCTGGGGCACCCAATCTCAAGGTATATCTTCTCTGGGGCACCCAATCTTTAGGATGTATCTTCCCTGGGGCACCCAATCTCAAGGTATGTCTTCTCTGGGGCACCCAATCTCAAAGTATATCTTCTCTGGGACACCTAATCTAAGGATGTATCTTCTCTGTGTCACCCGATCTTAATGATGAATTTTCCCTGGGGCACCCAATCTCAAGGTATATCTTCTCTGGGGCACACAATCTTTAGGATGTATCTTTTCTATGGTAACAAATCTTAAGGATGTATTTT